TGACGAGAGGTCTGGAAGTTATCACTGGTTTGGGATGCAACAATCTTGTAGAGTTTAATGCTGCCAAAACGCAGTACTGTACCTTGACGAACAAAAAGCGTCCCAGCGCTCATCCGGTTTCGATGGACGGCCGAGTTCTCTACCATATAGTTGTTCATTTCGACTGGTCGGAGTCCAGATCACCGAGGACTTGATCTGGCACGAACACACCTCGTTAGAAGCGGCAGCTGCTGGGAAAAAGCTGGGCTAAGTAGTACTTTTCTCTGCAGCACCTCCTTACCCTATACAAAGCCCAGTTAAGACCTAGCCTCGAGTATTGCTCACACGTTTGAGGTACTGCTGCCCCAATTACATTATTTATGATCGATGCTGTCCAGAGACTGATCGATGACTCTTCTCTAACAGACAGTCTCGGGACCCCTTCGCACTGGTTGGTCCTCGGCGATCTAGCTCTCTTTTACCGCTACATCAACGGACCTTCTCATCTATGATGCCGCCGTGCGATGTGCCTGCCAAACAGACCCACCTGACTTCGCATCCTAACCGAGTCAAACTTCATACATCCAGTACTGGCCGATACGAGCGCTCCTTTGTTCCGAGGATGCCGAGATTGTGGAACAATCTACAATAGGAAAATTTTCCCAGTTGTACTAACTTTAGGCAGTTCAAAAATTGGATCAACAAAATTTGTTGATTCTGCTTCGGTGTAAAAAATTGACATCAAAAAAATGTATTGGTAGGAAATCAAAACTGAAATTGGAGAACAAGCTATTACTTGATAATGCTTTGTTGAAGCCACAGGAAGGAAGGAATGAAGTGATACACGGATTTAGTGTTACAGATAGTGAAAGGGTTGAAACTCACCCTAATGGGTTAGCAAACTGACTATTTGTCTAGTAATGAGCTAGTGAATAGGTCAAAACGCCATTTGCCTTCTGACTTGGTGGAAAGATCACGATAATCTTAGGTGATAACATAACCAATCAGTTTAGTGTTAGATGGAGATCACACTTCATTTTTTTTTTTTAGTGTAGATTAGTCCGAAAAACATGCTTATTGCCCATACAGGCAGATTGCTGCTTCCTGCTAGAAGTATATAAAAAAAGGAAGATCCATAGGTCATCAGTCCAGCTGTCGCACGTGAGGTATCTATTAGCGAGCTTGCACAGGACGGCGAAAAGATACCTTTAAATATAGAAGTCACATCTTTGATTAGCAACCAAGCGATTGCTTGTCTGACTGCACGGACGATAGATCGGACTGTAGTATGATTCACTGACGGGCAGGTGCATACATGCGCACTCTTCACATCTCTTTCTCTCGTTCTTCGTTCTCTGGTAATATGCATCTCGAATAGATTTTCGACTAAATTGCCTGTAAGTCACAATGAAAATGCTACTCTCTCTTATGTACTGTTGATGGAGAAGCCGGTCTGTTAAAGCTTCTATTCATAATGTTGACCAGGGACGTTCAGCTGACGGGTCTCTTAGGTATTATTTGTTAGTATACTTGATACTTGAATGAGTGAATGAAAAAGGCATTATAGTGACAGTAGTTGCCATGTATAGAAGAGCTAGGCTAAATCGTTCGTTTTAGTGATTCGAGTCCATAGTTTCAATTCCTGCCTCAGAACCAATTCTGTCGACTCATTCGCAATTCCTTTTTGATACCATCATACCAACATACCATCGGTGCTAATGGGCGCTACAGAGGAACGATTCCACAGTAGGTGCAGATTATTATCGATTCCGATGGTATCGATTCCTGTACCCGGACTGTATGGTTTTGATACCATTACTTACCTGGTTGTTTTTAAATGAACTATCTAATGGCACGTTTCTACTAGATTCGAGTATTAGTTTTGATTTTAAAGACTCCAATTGAAGGAGGATACCCCTCCGCAAGTGCTATGTCCACTGGGGTTGGAGTTGCACATTTTGCATTCGGAAAGATTCTCATTGCTGTTCAATGACAATTCCGATCCTGTACTAATTTTTTTAAGTTAGTTGACACCACTAGAGCTTTCTCGACTCCTTCTCTACTCTTCGCTGATCCGCTGGATAACCTATTTCTGATATTTTCCAAAGAAATGCTAAGAAACCTGGTGCTTTCCTCTTTTTTGTAGTTCATCGGTTCCAATTTGACGTCAGTGACAGGAGTTTGTGGGTCGGAATGTTCTATTGTCAACAGTCTATCTTTGTTTCGAGATCTATTCGTGTGATAAGCTGCTAACGTTACCATGTGGACCGACCGTTTAGGGTTTAAATGAGATAATCTGCTTTTGTTAGGTTAGGTAGAGTCTTCTTTTGTCTCTAGAAGTGCAGTCGGCTAAAGCTCTAATTAGTTTCTTCTCGGACTCCGGCATTGAGTCTACTTTCTTCGTGAGAATGCAGAAGACGTGGTAAGTCAGCACTTCTGTTTTCAAACAGCCTTGCGTGTTGTCAGAGCAAGACCCAAAAAGACAAAAAGGAGCTGAACGATCAGCTCAAACTCAAAGACGACAAGTTCAACAGGATGCAAGAGAGTTTGATGCACTTATAGAAACTATATAGAGACAAACGGCTATTAGAGCGAGGAAAGATGGCGGAAATCACTAGGGATCTGATGATAAAGTGCACCTGTAGAGATAAAAGAAAACTCTGTCCAACCTAGAAAAAAACAGATTCTCTCAGATAAACCCTAAACAGTATGTCTGCATAGTAACGTTGGCAGCTTATCAATCGAATAGAGCTCGAAGATAGACTGTCGATAATAGAAGATTCCCAGGACCAATTTCCAGTCACTGACATGAAACTGGAACCGATAAAGTATAAAAAAGAAGTTAACTCGAAGAAAAGCAACATGTTTCTTAGTTTGCTTTCTGAAAATATCAGAAATACGTTATACAGCGGATCAATGAAGAATAGACGAAGTGAAAAAAATGTCACTGAACAGTATGAAAATCTTGCTGAATGTGAAATAGAAGACAAGAGGCAACCTCAAGATAAAAATCGATTTTGTATTTTGTCGTTCGGTTTTGGGTGCAACACTCAGCAAAATTTAATAGTTTAGAAGTTCCCTTACCACTATTTGCGTTAGAGACGGTTTTCTTTCCTGGACAACTTTAACTTTCTTTCTTTTATATCACTATAGCATTTTCCATCTATTCTTCAAATTTGTTTGATACTATTTTTACACTCGCAGTTTCATTTTCTGCAATAAATTTAACATTAAAATGGCAACTTGACAGGGATCAAAAAACCGTCTGTATTCCAATCTGTACACCAGAATTATTCTCTTGTACAGCGTTTCTTGTTTGGAGTCGCTTTTACTAAAGGCGTTAGTAGTAGTGGCGATAATCGAATCTGAGAGGTATCGTAACCGTTCGTTCAAATATAAGCCGGTTTCAGGCGGTTTTAAAGTAATGATTTCAGGAATCGGATTTGAAACCACCGAAATCGGTATCAAAATCTTTGGAGTCCAAACCATCGCAATTGATTCCTTAGATATGATCCTCTACGGTATCGTTCCTGCTCATTCAGAATCAACCCAGTTCTGTACAATTCGTTGGTCACAATTTTTAGGCGACCTCTTACTCTAGCCGTTTTGGATAGTCCTAGTTCCAAAAGACTAGACCTAACATGGTCTATCTGTGATACTTTTCCACTTCAAAGAGTGTTGATTGTGAATCTACCTAATCTGAAAAGAGATCTATGACGACAACAACCAAGCAGTGGTGCACTCAAAATATTAATTGTGTTATTACAGCCGGCTCCTTTCTAGCAACTATGAGTTAATTCAATTTGGTGTTCGTCGGGGAAATAGAGAGGAGGTCCAAAATTGTCTGTCTCTGTGGCGATTCAAGCCTTCGAGCTAGTTCAAACAGATCTGGAGACACGCAAAGATATAGGTTATCAATGGGGACTCTCTAATCTAGTATGATGTCTAAGGCAACCCAAGGAAACCTACCACAGTGGGAGAAGAGTCAACGAAAGCCAAAGGATTTTCTACTCCACTGGAAGAGATTCAAGACAGTACAAGGCGGTAACAAGAAGATCCTAGCTCAGGGTAGGTAGTTTCAAGTCTTCAAATGAGTTTTCTTTTTTATCCAATTGATATACAAAGAGCCCTGTGAAGATCTAAGACAACAAGGATCCGGATATCAATTGACTCTCCTCTAAGCTTGTTATATGGCCTTCTAGAAGAAAAAGTTATAGGATCATCCATAAAGTTTTTCATGTAACATTTTCTTGTCTCAGAAAAGTGGTTTTTTTAATAGAATACCCTGTATATTTTCAGTGAAGTTCCTTTTTCTTATTCCAAATATACATGGTTTGTTAAGCTTATGTGTATCATTTAATCGATATGTTATTTCGGCCCTATACCAGATAGGTAGCTGGATGCAAACGGGATCAAACTCTGATACACTGGAGTAAATTGTACACAAACTTTAAATTTTTGACATATACTAGGTGTTCAATTTAAAAAATGGAACTTTATTCGATTGTACATTTTTCTTCTGAGGATGTCAATTTATAGTCGGACACACTGTATATCCGAAAGTATACAAGAATTTCCGAGGAAAATCAAGAAAATCTAAGCAGAGGCGATTTCTGTTCCAAAAAAGTGTTGATAAATTCTTTTCCAAGTAGTTTTTGAATTTCTGAAATGCTTATGAGAAGAACATTATTGACTTCTCTAATACATATTCTCCTGCTGTAGATATCATTTTTTTGTGAAATACTTTTTGTGAGAGCCGATGTTCAATTGCATGTGGTCTCAATATTTCTGCAATTTTACTGCTCCCAGATAAACGGACTACCCCCACCTTCCGCTCGGAAGCCACTGGTCCTATTCATTATTTTGCTTATAAGTACGCAAAACGGCCGCCGATGGTTATTAAGTTGTTGTTTTGTCGTTTCCAGTTAGTGCAAACACGTTAAATTGAGTCGGCACATTCCACTGTTCTACTTTGAAGGTGCACCAAATTAGACGGGAGTGGATATGCTATGCTGATCTGAATGAACATTACCAGCAGCTGTGCGTCTTATTGACATATTGCTCCCGGCAAACATCATTCTTCAGACTTGTGGGTTGTATTTTGTATTGTGATATAATAGCCAAAATGTCCGACAATGCGGATGGTCCAATATGTTTCATAGGGCGATGAATCAGTATAAATATACAAAACTGTATCCAGCAACACATCTCCAGACGTCCGCCAGTTGCAAAGGTAAGTGAATTTCACGGTGGATGGCATGAGGTGTTTCCACCTTTTTTTTTTTTTTTTATACTCCAACTACCACGAAGGCCTGAGGCCTAAGCACCCATTGGGTACCGTGGGGCTATGGGGGATACATGGGAAAGGGGGGACGCCACACGGACTCTGGCGAGGGAACACGTGTGCATGCAACATGCACACATTCTGGCTCCGCCTACGAGAACCGCCGGGTGGTACCTCCGCGTTCGACAGTCAGAGACCATCTACCACCTACGGACAATCACAACATCCATGGCCAAGAGAAACATTGCTCCTGGAGACGGGAATCGAACCCGCACAGCGCACGGCGACTGATCAGGAGACCGAAGAGTCTACTACTGCGGCCACCGCTGCTGCCTAAAACAAACACACAACATCCATGGCGAAGGCGAGATTCGAACTCGCGGCCCGGCCGGCCGGCTGATCAGTAGCACGACACTCTGACCCACGCGGCCAACCGAGGAAAAAATGGAAGATGGTAGCCGGGCGTCATTCTGAGTTGTTTTTTTTAATTGCATGAGATCTCGTTTTGAAATTTATTAAGACAGCTTAATGGCTCTAGAATGTCTAGTCACAATTTTTTAAAATGGCGGACTGACAGGCTGTCAAGTTTGAGCGTTATTGTATAATAAATCGCTTATAACGCGACAACTAATAAAATCAAAACGTTCTAAAATGTCATTTCAATCTCCGTCCCTTGTAAGTAACCATATCAGACGAAAATACCCCTGGTTTTCGAATTAATTGTAAAGCCTGGTTTTATTGATGCAAGTTGTTCAAGGAGGTAGTTAAATCATGGACGCATAAAACGGGTACACCATTTTTTGTGGGATAACTTTTTATTCGACAACACAGAATGAGAGAACGTGTTTTTCTGAATTCAATATCGAAAGTGTTGGCAGGAACGGAAAAACTCTTCAAATAAGATTTTTAGGTATTTATGAGACCTACAGAATCAGACCACACACGTAAAAAGGTCCGACTAATGGTAGAAAAGTTATGCCCGAAAACCCAGGCAAGATGCTGGTTTTACACTTGTTGATGATGCAACAATGTTTCACGCAGGTACTTGAAATACTTCAAATTCGTAGCCTTTATCTTTCTAAGTGACGCCAGCAAAATTGGAGTCGATTGGTTTTGAGAATTTTTAATTGTTTATCCGCTTCGTTTTTCGCATAAAAATAACAATTATTTTTCAGAAAGGTTTGTGATTCATGTCTGCAAGATAAACTCGTATATTTCGCTATAAAATACTGTTTGAATAAACCCTGTATATTGCTCAGTAAACTAGTAAAGATGGCCGAAAGACAGGCGTTTAAAGAATTCCAAGTAGCTGCGTGACATTATTGTCGCATTAGCAAGAAGAACCATAACCTGCATTTTGCCTCGGTTTTCGGCCATAACTTTTTTAATATTAGTCGGACCTTAATACGTGTAGCCTCATTCTGTAGGTCTCATAAACAATCTTATTTGAAGAGTTTTTGGTTCCAACACTTTCGATTGAATCCGAAAAACATGTTTTCTCATTCTTTGTTGTCGAATAAAACGTTTTCCCAGAAAAATTTGTGTACCCATTTTCCTCCTTGAACAACTTATAGTACAACATCAATAAAACCAAACTTTACAATTATTTCGCAAATCAGGTGAATTTTACAATTATTTCGGGTAAATTTGCTAATATGATTAGACTAATGGATCTATCTGAATATCTAATTGACTATGGTACATTCCGATTAAAAATTGTTAAAATTTGTCATTGTCATTTTTAATTCGATTTACTTTTCTGAAAGGCACCGTATATGGATGCATCTGTTGTATTGGAAGACGGTGTGATAGCGCTTGCCTTTTCTGAAAGTGCACGATTTGAAATTATATAATTTAATTCGACCTATGATATTAATTTATATCTTCTTGAACAGCCCCATCGGCATTAGACATTTATATTAAGTCGGGCGCGGTAGATGTATATCTATCTATTTGTAGTATATATACGCACATATTGAAATAGACCAATCGAATATATTAAGAGGACCAGGTGCACCTTAGGCTTAATTTATGTCGCAGGAAATACCCGATTTTATTTCTTATTTGCTGCTTGTAAATTTAGGGTAATTAGTTAGTTCAGTTAAATTGATCGAAGCCGGTTTTGAAGCTAAAGGCAAGCCGTTCCGTTTTGTCGATACTTAAATATAGAATATAGTCGTGGAATGCTGATGTTTGTGTGTAAGGATTGAGTTTAAAAAAAAACAAAATTGATATATCGGAATCGGGAATTAGAAAAGTTGACAGTCATGCTGTTTTGATGGATAATAACTGGTATAGGAAATCTGGATATGTGGGTAAACCGAGAGTCTTCAGGGATGACTTATTGCAACAACTGGGGGACAGAGGCGTGTTTCAGGCACATAGGGTTCAAAGGATGTAACTGAAGTATCTTGAACGTCCAGCAGGTATTACGTAACTTGTAAATTGTGTAAATTTAACAACAGATGTAGTGAATCGCAAAGATTATATTCCTCACAGCTATCGCATTACAATTGCTATATGGTCAACGTCGTTTGACACTAAGAGTCATGCAATTATAATATCCGCAAGTTTCATAATCAGCCTATGGGATATTTTCCTGTGCGAACCATCAGACCTCTACCGCTGCTGCAGCCTTTGCTGTACCCAATTTAACAGTGTCAAGTTTTGTACTAAATTGGACAGTCTATTCTAGATAGCTCAAAGACGATATGAATGCCAAAATTTGGAACTTTACCATAACTGGCAACGTAAGCGTTAAATTGGACATTCAATGCATAAGAAGTCCGAAGAGGTGACACTGTCAAATATATGAGAAGTTCGCGAAAGGCCACACTACTGACCTCTACGTCGCTATCAAGAATCTGGTTTAACAGCATCTCGGATTTGTAGTCCCCTTCAGTGAAGCGCACATGAGTTATATCAGCCGTTCCTGCTGATATGCCAGGAATACTGACGACGATGCTGCTAATTTCCAGGAAGACTACTTTATTGTTCTCAACACATTTTATAGTCAGTCAGATTTAAGCCTTTGTACTGTTAACATCATAATAACATTGTAATAATTTTGTAAAAGTACATTTTTGAGTTTTGTATTTTCTAAAATAAACTTTTTAAAAAGCGATATCGAGGCATCGATCTTATAACTCATGTGTCGCCAACCGCTCATCAATCACTGGAGTACCAAGCACCCACCATGCTACCAGATTTTACTTACTATGCAAAAGTCGCATAAACTAGAAATAGGCTAGACAGGATTTGCTTGCCTTTCTTCTTGCGAATAAAACCAACCATGCTTATTAGCAATCAGCAGTACGGTAGAAGTATAGTTATTGGAGACAGACTACAGAAAGCAAACATGCGAAGATAGATCTTGTCACGTGCCAAAATCACGTAACCTTTTTTTTACTATTTTGATCACTTTCTCTTTGTTAATGGTAGAGTGCCGATCCCTAGGCCAAACCCTTATTGATTGTATAATTTCACACGTATTATATCTTTCTTTCTCAGCGATTCAGCGATTCAGTAAATCTTTTGTACACTAATGTGTAATACTAACGACTATCTCAAAAAGTTTCTCATAAAATATCGTTGGTCCCTCGTCGAGCCCCTACTTTGTGACGTGCCCACTACTGGCCACCGTTTTTATTTTGACCTGAGCATTTGTGAGCTGAGGACATCTCGGCAACTTCTAGAGCCGTAACTAGGAGAAAACCACTGTCCAGATAAGTTCAAGTTTAGGCGTTAAGATATTTGTAAAGCCTTCGTACGTGTACTATGGTAAACGTTTTGCAGGGTTAATTATCACGGTCTAATGATTTTATCGTCAGGTAGTTTTGAATAATATCGTTTCTTTCAACTTGCATTCCAGTGGTGGAGCATATGTATGTGCTGCTTGTTTTGATAAATAATATATTGTGATTCTTTTTTAAATGTCTTGTTTTATTTGGCTCTCTGTGTATAATTCATCAGGTTTTGTCATTACTGTGAGATTATTTTCTTTTGTGTGGATGGTCAGGCAAAACAAGTTCCGATTAACACCTCGAGGATTTGTGGCTTAATCCGTCTTAAGTCACTAGCGCTCTTAACCCCCCTACTCTCTGCTTTATTGAACTAGTGCCTGAATTGGCACGCGATTTGACAGCTCTTTTGCATTGACTGACCCTAGATTTCATTTACAGTGTTTTATTATTTCATTAATTAATTTAAAAAAAATGAAAGTGGAATCACACCACCATTTCCTCTTGTTTATGAAAAAACGTAGTCACAACCTTTGTTTTTCTTGATACGAAGTCCCATCTCACAAGCTGAACGTTTCCATAATGTCCGTGTGATTATACCTGCTATTCTCACCAACCGAGCTATTTCGTTGACCACCACGTTATTGCTGATAAAAGGACTAAATAATACATAATCATTAAAAGCATAATGGTAAGGTCAAAATATAAGATTATGAATTATAATCCCAGAAGACCAGTAGGCTTAACATGTTGTAAGTTCACGGTGAAAATCCAAAGATTCACGTCAACTACTCTACGGAACTTCTATGTAACGATTTGAAGATCATTCTAGGTATAAATCTAATGCGTGGTAAATTTAAGCAGTGAATTATATTTGCTATCAAACAAGCACAGAGAATTTTTCCGCTGCTTACTTTCCATCGTTTTCCCGGTGTTGGAGGTATTACCCCACCGCATGTTGACACCCAAAAACGCGTCTGCTCTGATATGAAATATGCCCCTACTTAAGGTGATAGCTTTCCTTAAATTCTCACCACCGCGTCGCTCGAGATGCGACACACAAGCAGTGGAAGCAGCAACCCCACAAATAAATTATGAGTATTTTTATTTCCGTGTATATGTGTAAATTTATCTATCCGCGGTGAAGCTGTAGCGAATATAAATATATATACGTACAACGGCCGGGATTTATTGTTTAGGGAAATAATGCGATTTTTTGTTGTTTTATAAATGGCCCAGGCGACGTCTAATGCAACGGAAGTGTATGGAGAAAATCTCGTGTAAGCGTACACCACATATACATGACAAAAAGGTTAACTAGATTCATCAACGTACTGTCGTGTGGTTCCATCGCATTTAATGCATTGCTGCAGGAAATAGCGTATCACCAAGCAAGAGGGGGGAGTTCAACTTACTCCACACAAGTTTGCCAATGAACTGAAGCAAGAAAACGAAAGAGGATAATTGCCAATATATCTATCGCTATGCAAACCGTTCCGCAAACATTAGATGAGTCCCAGCTCTGCCCGGGTTAAAGCTTTATTCGGGTTATGTCCTTTATCGTAATGCGCATAGTGACATCTTCTGTGGTCGGGTTTTGCAGAATTCCTTCTGAATAAGATACGATTGTGTTTAAATTAAACGTGAACTGTTCCTCATTACTATCAGCTTACTTGGCATAAAGCCCAAAATTTCAAACTTTACCAACTTAATTTATATATATATATATATATATATATATAAATACTAGAAAAGAGAAAAAACTGAGCCGGACCTGGAGTTTTTAAATCCCAAAGCATTCTTAGTTCGATACTGAGCATTATTATCAAAAATGTTGATGAAATTAGGATTCTAACGATTTAGATTTTGAGTTTCGTGTCACATAAAATGACAAATGTTTGAATAAGTAGAAACTTTAATTGAGAAACCAAAAGAGGCGCAGTCATTCCACGTTGCTAATTAATAAGCACCATTGGATTCATCATACATGGCCAAAGATTTAAATATTTCATCCAAAAGATGTTGATCCTTCTAAGATACAAAAAAAAATCGAATCCATCCAGTTCAACCATGCAACTAGTTTTACGTTACTCCTGATCATTGTGCAACTGCGCGAAATTTCATCAAAATCGGTTCAATAATGCCTGTGATATGTGATTTGAAAGAAATTTGGCCGTAAAAAATAACTTAGAACATTTTTATTTTCAGATGTAAAAGGACCTCGATCCATACCATCCACCACTTCACTCTGTCTATTTTACCCCAGAATACCCTATATGGCACCCATAAGGAAGGAAATATCCTTCCACTGTCTCTTGTCGTACGAGTATAGTGCCAATCTTCCCATCGAATACCTGCCTACCATGCAAATTAGTAATGATGCCTTATCATCTGATGCACCCCACGTCTGTTTGTTTTGATCTGTACCAAACGAAATGTGGAGAGAAAACACAATATGCAACCGGAGCAGCATGTTCCAATTGTCCTGAATAATCTAAGAAGGAGTTTTGTCGGCGTGCTTTTTTTCTGCAACTCCGATGATCCAACGAGTGAGATTTTGCTGCAAGTGAAGTTGTCTCGACTCGGTGCATGTGTACTTCACACTCCTCTATTATTTTTTCCGTGCTAGATCCTACAGGCACATATCTGCGCGTGCACTAATAAAGAGAAAGAGATGAGAAGAGATTCAACATGGGCGGACTATTATCTATCAAAGTGGTCTTTTAAAACTATAAGTAGAAAAAACTAAACTACAGTTGATTCACTACAGTCGTAAGAAAGTGGTACTAATTTAGCCAAGTTCCCAACTAGGAGAAATATTTTATAATCTTTAACTGTCCGAGGTCAGTTAAATCAAGTCAGTAACTTGGATTTTTTTTTAAATAATTTATTTAAACACAATAATACAAAATGTATAACCAGTTATAACAATAATTCCCCAATCAGTGTTTGCAAACACTGGTCCCGAGAATAACAAGACAATAATCAATATCTATGAACTATAGGTACACTGCAATGTTGCTCATAATTTCAACAAATAAATTCATTAACATTTTTAAAATCTCTCAATTCTCTAACAAAACTTCTATAGTTACTTGAATCTTTTATACAATGAGGTAAATTATTAGATTTCCTAATTGCGTCTGTGATTGGATTTTTTAAACCTATATTAGTTCTTGTGGAAATTTGATAAACATTATTTAGTGACCTTGTTTGGTGATCATGCACGTTATGGTAGAACCTAATATTTATGTTACTTTTTAGTAGATTATTTATAATTTTATAAACAACACATACCCCATACTGGCAAGAGGTACCTAAAATGTGTGAGAAAGAAGGTGGATAGCATTGAAATTATTTTATCACAAATTCCATTTAAGTGAAGTGACCAATTTAAACTTTCATCTATTAGTAATCTCAAATATTTAATAGTTGAAACTTTTTCTAGCGCTATATTATTTATGTTAATATTTAGATTATTGCTAACTATCTTATTTTTTTGTTTAAATATAATGTATTTTGTTTTTTCAATGTTAATTTTTAATCTATTCGAAAACAGCCATTTTAGATAACTATTCAGGTCATCATTAATAAGTTTCGTTAAAGCAATATCGTCTGTTCCAGTATATACCAGTACAGTGTCATCTGCAAAGGTAAAATATCTTCCCCTCAGATTGGCCAACTTGAGATTCAGTACATAAAGACTGTATAACGGAGGTCCAAGAACAGACCCCTGTGGTACTCCATAGGTGCTAGATAACCATTCACTATCAATGTCTCCAAGCTTTACGTACTGTTTTCTGTCATATAAATAAGACTTAATCAAGCTGTACGAAACACCTCTAAATCCCATTTTAAACAATTTATCCAAAAGAATGTCTATGCTTACTACGTCAATAGCTTTTTTTAGGTCAATGAAAACAGCTACAACTATTTGTTGTTTATCTAGAGCCATTGAAATGTAGGCCACAAAATCAACAACCGCACTAAGTGTGCTACTGTTCGTTATAAAACCATATTGAAATTCATCAATCAATATATTGTAAGTAACAATGAAAGATAACATTCTTTTTTTTTTATCAATTTTTCTACAATCTTAGAGAATACACATACCACTGAAATAGTTCTGTAATTGTTCATACATCTAATATCTCCCGACTTAAAAAGTGGGGTTATTTTACTTATTTTCAATTCTGATGGAAAGATTCCTTTTTGTATAGTTTCATTGATTAATCGTACTAAAACAGGTATTATGTATTCTCCAAGATTATTTACATCCTTAACCGTGATACCGTCATATCCAGGTGTTGAGTTTATTTGTAGTTCTTTCACAACTTCCAACAACTCTTCTTTATTAGTCAATGTTATCGAAATAAAATCTTCGTTGTAATCCTCACCAACAGAAATAAACTCATTCAATTGCTGAATCTCTGCTTCCAAATTTTCAACAATTGATCCACCGACCCGAGAAAAGTATTTATTTAAATTGTTTGCAATATCAAGTTGAGTGTTAATAATATTATTTTCAGTTACTAGTTGATCAATTCTTACTTTATACTCCTTATTTTTTATGAGGCTGTTAATAAAAGCCCATTGTTTGTTCACATTATTTCCAGCTAAGCTCCATTTAGTTTGGAAATAACGGTTCTTTAAAGCAGTATTTTATTGTTTATTTTATTTTTGATGTTTTTAAATTCAGCATTGATAGTTAAGTTTCCTGGTTGGTTAATCTTTCTTTTGTATAATTTATCTCTTTTTTGATAAGCTCAAGGACTTCATTATTTATCCAGGTGTTATTTGTACGTATTCTTAATTTTTTATACATACCGATTTACTTTTGCAGTCTTCAATTAAATTAATTAATTCTTGAAAAGTTGATACATTTATGCTTAAAATTTTTTGTCTAAATAAGTTTACACATTTTTTATAATCTACAGATTTTACCTCATAATCTACTTTTGGTTTATGAAACTGCACAGATGTTTTAATATCAAGCAATATAAGTTTGTGATCCGAAATTGCATTTTCTTTAACACTGACTCTACAACTTACATTACTACCATAATCGCTAAGAACATGGTCTATAACAGATTTTGACAAACTGCTAACTCTAGTAGCACACTCCTCATTTATCGTATTATTAATTTTAAAATTGTTTAATGTTATTGAACTCCTTGGCTACTTGTGAAACTTCTAGCAAATTAATATTCATATCCCCAACAGTTAAATGATTTTTAGGATGAGTACGCATAATGGATTCCAAACAATGGAAAAAATTATTACTATTTACAGATGGCGGTTTATGTATAACACTAATTTTTAAGTTTTGTTCCCCTAAGCTAATACATATCCAGTTTATTAACTCACATGCGTTTGACTTCTTAATTTCACGAAATTTGATAGATTTCCTCACATAGACAGACACACCACCTCCTCCACCAGCCCTGCAGGAATGAACAGCATTATAGCCATCCAACTCAAACAAGAATGTTTCACTTTCTTCCAACCATGTTTCAGTCGCCAACAGTATATCCCAATTTTCACTCACAACCAAATACTGCACCAGATCCAGTTTATTTCTAATACTTTGCAAGTTCATCTAAGCAATTTTTAGTTGTTCACGAGGCCTTACTAGTTTTCCAACTGACTTTTATTACTAATACGAAGAAGTTTTGAGTTTTCGTCCTTCCTTAGAAGGATATTACCATCTCCAATCCAAAGGAACTTATAATTTCTGTCTTTCTTAAGAGCCTTGGCTGCCATGAATAAATCAAGACTTTCTTTTGTGAGTTCATGGTTGAGAAATATTTTATTATCGTATATCCCAAATCCGAACTTTTAAGGCCAAACTTCTTTCTTGATTTAAAAATTTTTATTTTGGTTGATTCATCTTCAAAGATGACTTTAACAGGATTGTTTTTATTCTTATCCCTGCACAATCGAAAAGTCGTAAACCTGTTTACATTCGGGACGTCAAGGTAATTACCAATTTTATTTATAATGTCAGGTAAGTTCTCGTTTTCTTTGTATGGAATTGCTTGCAACAACAAGTTGTTTTTAAGTTCCTTTTGTTCATTTTTGTTTAACTGTTGCTTAATTTGCCCGAGTTCATCCTGTAATTGTTCGTTTATTTTTAATTGCTCGTTATATTTAGTAAATAATGCCTTATATTTATAATCCATCTCCTCTAATTTTGCCATGACATCGGCCAGAGTGTAATGCCTCTTCGCCTGTGAAACAATGGATTTCAATGCTTAACCATACCCCGTCTTAAAATTAAACAAATTTAAAGACGTTCAGGGATAATTATTAAAAAGACAATTTTATTGATGTTCGCAAACGAATAACACAAATAATACCAGTATGTCTATTTTAAAACAAATGTGTTCAGTAAAAGCTTAAATATTGTATAAAATTGTTGTATAAACATTTATGAAACAATATTGAAATTTGTCGTGATACTGTTTTGAGTTTTTGCTCCAAGAACGTTCTTACCATAACCATTTTAATGCATACTTTATAAAAGTTTAATTGTCTTACTGGCATTTTATTAAGACAAAATTGCGTTCTAAGATTAGTAATAAGGCGATAGTAAAACAAAATAGCTCGGACAGTTGAAAATTATGAAATGTCTTTGCTAGTTGCCAAGAAGCATTAAAATTCACATGTTTGTATTAATTTACGTGCCTTTAGCGGTTACCAAGATGGAAATGGTAATGCATTGAATTTGTAACGCCCTGTATACCCGCGTATCTTTTTTACGCTAACCCTTTTTGCCTGTTTAACTAAAATATACAAAAACACTTACTACTCGTCGTTGCTTCTCAAGGCGTCCGGAGGACCTTAGCCTTTAGGTCATAGTCACTGTAATGTCAGTGTCTGTCGTCAGTCTGTCAGGTCTGGTGGCCCAGAAACCAGACAAGTCGTAGGTGAAAGGGGAGAGGGAGAAAAAAAGGAAGGAAGTAGGAGCGAGAAGAGAAAGAAAAGGAATTGTTTTATGTAAATATTTGAGGTGTGATAGATCTAAGAACTGTTACATTGTACTATCTAATTTTTTTGACTGGTTCTGTACTGAATTTTGGGTCTTTGGTTTTTAAAAACTATAATTTTTAAAGGTCTAAACATAGATTTAATTTTGTTCAGCGTGCGAGTCGCGGCCTGGAATGTTTGCGTATCTACTCGACTGTGGAATGTTGCTGGTAGCGCCGTTGTGCCATACCTATGATGAAATCCCCAAGGTAGGGGATGTCAAGATCTCTATGTATGGTATCGTTTGATACATACCATGGAGCATTAGTTATTGTTCTGAGAGTTCTACTCTGCAGAACTTGTATTTTGCGCATATGTGACTTAGCTAAAAAGCACCAAGCCGCACATGCGTAGGTTATTGCAGGACTGATGATGGTTTTGTATATCCGTATCTTATCGACCATACTCAATTTTGATGCTCTACATAAAAGAGATTACAATTGCCGAAATGCAATTTGGAATTTAATTTTCAGTTATTCAATGA